AACTCTTGCTCAGCGTGTAGGTCTAAATTTTACTTGCATTTTGAACATAAATTTTTAAATGTTTTTCTATTTCCTGTCAGGTTTTATTTTTTATTATTTTTTAAAAATTTTATTTTGTTGCAAAGATGCTTTAAAGAGGGATTAGTTACATGTATAAGGTAAGGATTACGTTTTTTGTTGAGCATTGTAACCCACTTCTTTCTTGTTCTCCCACTACCCCATCCCTCCCCAATTCCTTTTCTCCTCCCTCCCCTTGGTGTAAACTTCATTTTCAACATAGTGTCTTGTGAGTATCATTGTTGCAATGGGTCATCATTTGATGAACCTAAATTTTCTATTTCTCTAATCCTAATTCTAATTCTGTCTGGGATCCTAACCTTAACCATAATAATAATAATAGCTCAATTCAAAAGTTAACAAAAAGATATTCAGGTTTTTGTTAATCCTATTAATTCGCTGTACATCTTGAATTAACTTGCAGTTTAGCTTAAATCTTCCAATTTAGTTTATATGTGCATATATGAAGATGTAATTTTATGTGAATAACAGAAGATCTTTGGAGGAACGAGTAATGAGAAGGAAATAGAGGGAGTATAATCAAATATGTTAAATATATTATGGAATTGTCACTTCTGACAAATAATATCCATTAACAAAATAACTAAAAATTAATAAAGAACACTGCCTTCTAGTGTTCTTTAAGAGAGCCATGATCTGTCTTCTGAAAAAATAAACTCGTGTTAAACATTTTTTATGCATAATTTATATTTTTGTCCAATTATTTAACTTAATGAATAAAAATTTATCGAATAAGATTCCATGACAAAACAATATAAAACAGTTACTTAGCAATTGTTTCAGAAAAAGTTATTTTCATGAGTTTTAGGAAACGGGATTGCTATTTCCCTACAAAGCAATGAATTAGTTTTACTAATCTATATTTGTAGTAAGTTTAGAGAACTTAATTGGCATGAAAAACAACTAACTCTACATCTTATTTCTTGAATGAGTGATATTTTAAACATTTTCTTTTATTCTAATAAATACTTAGGTTTATATTTCAAAATAAGTGCAATTTTATCTAATTTCAGAACTAGTATTTACCCTGCAATTAAATGTACTAGCATATTCAGGTATTTAAAAGCTAAATTTTTTATGTTTTATATGTAGCTCTACATATTCAGAATGACATGATTTTTTTATTCATAAATGTCTAACCTCAGATTTTTGCTTTATCAGTATAAATTGTCTCATGAGGTTGTAGTGAAAGCTCCAGTAACCAGAGTGGTCAAAACCATTTCCGGAATTCTAAATTTTAAATCAAATCATTTTTAAGCTTTGATAATATCATTTATTGTCTCTTCAGAGCAATTAAGCTAAAACAAATATTACTTTTTAAACATTTCACTCATATTGTAAAGAATATTAACATAGATCAAAAATAGACTATTTCAGACTCACCATATTTGGTGATCTTAGTGGGAAGAATGTAGAGAGTAGAAGTTCCTTATACTCAATAAGTAGTTTTGGTTAAATTAAATCATATATCTGGATTTCCAATTTGGAGGTTAATCAAATGGAAACAGGAAAATAATAAAAAATACTTTGGGATCAACAGAAAAAGGTATTTATGCATGTACCACAGTTGCTTTATTAGTTTGTAGTTGAACACTGGACTTCGATTTATATCTTGGCTGTTGTTGTGAATAATGTGAATAACAATGAACTACAGATATATTTATGAGTTAAACAGAGAGAAATAATCACGCGATTGGTGGGTCAGATGATATTTCAACTTTGGATGTCTTTAGAAAACTGAGTACTACTTTCTACAATGAGAACACTAACCTGTATTTTGACCAAGAGTGTAGAAAATTTCCTTTTCTCCATGGTGTCGCCAGCCAACATTATTACCTTTTGAGTTTATTTAAATGGCAGGTTTTTACTGTGTGCAGTACCCAAGACTGGCCTTAGACTCAAATCCTTTTACTCCATCCTCCAATCACTTGGAATTACGAGCCTTTACCACCACACCTGGTCCCTTGGATATTTTTGATGAGAGTTATAATAGTTAAGAAGTAATATCATAACAATTTTGAATTGCATTTCTCTAATGACTTTTGCTCACAAAGCATTAAGCCAGCATAGAAGTTGTATTAAATACAAATTTGTAAATCCACAGGCGATTTTCAGGGCTTTTTGGAAAACATGTCTATTCAGAACTTTTGTCCATTTTAATCAAGTTTCTTATTAATCTGATCTTTAATCTCTCTATAGAAAATCAATAATTAATTCATAGTAGTAGAAAGGAAAAAGATTAAGCAGCTCCAAACATTTTTAAATTTTTATTAACATGATATTTTTTAAATCATTTTCTGTTAACGCTTGAGACTATATAACTCAATGTAGTTAGACCTTTTACAAGGCTATATATATTTTATTTATTTTTCTTTGATTGTTCTTTCTAAAGGCTACATGGCTAATTTCACTTGGTTTCTTTCAGTCTCATGTTCTTCAGATTTCAAACTGAAGAATAAATGGAAGGAAGCAAACAAAAAATATAGTTCCCCTCATCTGACGATGCCTCTACAAGAATGAGGAAAGTGTTCATCCTTCTAAGGACCTATGATAGACTATCAAAAAGACATTTTATTCTTCTAGGTCTTCCTTATCTTTGCGATGTAACTTAAATGATGTAAAACACAACATACTGCTCAGATACTTCCATGTTTTATCAGTTTTGCACATTTTCATATGGATTTCACCTCAGTCTACAACATTCCCTCATCGTTCTGTCCCTGATATTTTTACACTATCATGACATAAGATAACCAGTTTGATTTACAGCATAAGAAGTTATACACCTGGCTTCCTTGGACACAGAGCATGGTCAGTAGATATTACTCCTGGTTGCTCACACTACACGTAATGGTTTCTGTACTACTTTTCACATTCTTTTTAGTATTTTAAAAAGAATGGTGGCTAAACTCAAAGATCATTCATAGGTTTATGTTAAGTGTTTCACAAGTATTATTCTCTTAATTCTTAAGATAACATTTGCTATAATGCTAATGTTATTACCATTGTAGTGTTGGGAAAAATTGTAGTTAAAGACAGTAAGTGCATGGCCCAAAGACACACACAGTGAGGAAGGAAATGAGTCAAAGTTTCCAAAAGTCTTTCAGCAATACCAAAAACGTGGGTAAAATCTCTCCATTCTTTATACTCTCAATTCAATATTCATATTGCCCAAGAAATAAGAGCGTAGCAAATATTGCCCATGGTGATTGTTTTCTGTCACATTTTGTCTTCAACACAGACTGCGTTGGTGACATTGGGATATCATGCACAGAGCTGAGCTTATAAATTGATGTCCGAAGACAGCCAAATTTCTTCTGTCCCACAGTTCCAGTTTCTTTTTTAAAAAGTACTAAAACTTTTAAATATCATCACTTTCTATCTTTTAACAATCCCCAAACAAATTAAATTATCATAAAATCACTCCAAAAGGCTTTCAAATTAGGAGATGATAAAACAGGCTCCCTTGAAGTAAATTTTCTTTTATTTTAAAAATTATTCTAAAAGCCTTGTTCTGGCTGGTCACACCTATAATCCTATCTACTCTGAATATTTGCTCAGGAGACTGAGATCTGTGGATAACACTTGGGCGCCAATCAGGGCCAAAAAAAACACGTCATGAAATTATTTTTCAAGAAGTTTAATGAATTAGCAAAAAGCCAGGAATTGAAATGTAGCTTATATTGTAGCTAGATAGTAAAAGCCTAGCAAGACCTTGAAGACCTGATTTTAAACTCTCAGCACGCCAATATACATGCATGGCGTGTGTTTGCACGCACGCATGTGTTTGATTGTGCGGTGCCGCACTCACTCACACACACACACACACACACACACACACACACACATTTATTCAAATTACCTTCATATCAGTGTTCTGCATTAATTTCTTTGTTAACGATATTATATGGGTAAAATAGAGGAAATAAACTCTTCCATCTCAGAGCATTTTATATGTTTTTTATTGTAATAATACTGTGCAGAGGGGCCACATTTACATGAACAAGGAAACTAGTATATTTCCTAACAATCATTGTTAACTCCTCCTTTGTATTTCCCCTACCATCCCTTCCCTCCCACCTCCACAAGTACACTCCCCTCACCCTTCCTTCCTACACCTAAATTGTAAAGTTCATTTTTCAACATAGTGTCTTGTGCATCTCATTGTTACAATGGGTCAACCTGTATCCCTATTTGAGCATTTTTTTCCCTTCCCCTCCCCAAATTAGAGAAGCATACATACAAGATGTAAGTGCACCAACTTCAAATACAGAGAAAACAGGGGTTATAGCATGGGGAGAAACATACAAAGAAACAAAAAAAATGACATCGCACATTATAAGTACGTTAGAAACAATAGCAAGAAACAAAAAAAACCACTTGTGTCCCTACCTTGGCGTTCACTTTCTTTAACATCATCTTATCTGGATATATGCACATATCTTTTGAACTTTTCTGCTTATCCAAGACATATATTCGTTATTGAAAATAAGGGAAATCATGGGACGTGTATTTATTTGGACTTGGCTTACTTTACACAATAATTTTTTTTCCAAGTCTTTCCATTTCCTATCAAATTGGGAGATGTCATTCTTTCTGATGGAGACATAGAATTCCATTGTGTATATATACCACATTTTCTTGATCCATTCATCTAATGGGGCATCTGGGTTGATTCCATATCTTAGCTATCGTAAATAATGTTGCAATAACCATAGTTGTGCTGGTAGTTTTAGTATGGTCTTGATTATGATCATTTGGGTAAATCCCCAGAAGTGGGATTACTGTGTCATAGAGGAGTTTATGTGGAGTCTTTTGAGGAAACTCCATACTACTTTCCAAAGTAGTTGAACAAGTTTACACTCCCACCAAGAATGCAGTACGGTTCCCTTGTGGCCACATACCTTTCAGCATCTGTTGTAAAAAATATGGAACGCTCCACAAATTTTCATGTCATCCTTGCGCCTGGGGTGTGCTAATCTTCTCTGTATTGTTCCAATGTTAGTGTATGTGATGCTAAATTGAGCATAAAACATTTTTTATATAAAGTATAATTTTCATTGATTTTATTAAACTAGACAATTCAACAAAATTAAGTTCAAAAGAATTGTTGTGAAATTTTAGAATCATGTATTTCTTACATAAGCACACATTTAAGAATAAAATCAAGATAGACATACCAAAAACAAAATAATTCTGGATATTTATTGTTCAAGAGATGTGTATGAGGAGGAATTCAATTATTCTATACAAGGCACCTGTCAAAATGAACATTGCAGAAAGTGTTAAGGTTTGTTAAAAGTTTTAATGTTTTAAATATGCTTACTTTGGGGATTTTGCTTATATATGCCAAAAAAAAGGACTATTTGGCAAGTATAAAACTTTTCTATAAAGTATTTAAGATTTATGGTAGCCGACATTAAGCATTAAGTATGTACATTTCAGAGTTTATGGAAACTTTATTAATGAGGAGTTGCAAAGTCTTTGTGTAAGGAAGCAGAGTGAAGAGTTAAGACTTTAACTACACAGTTTCTGTTAAAACTTTAGGGATTCCTTACTTTATTTGTTAGCAAGGAATAAATGATGATATAAGCCATAATGTACACATGTATGTTACTATTCACACACATACATATACACATGTATACATGCACACATGGAGAAAGACACATAATTACAGCCAACATAAGTTTCACCATTTGTTGAATATGCCTAAACGGAATACTTGGAACAATATGTGTTGAAGATGTATTTGTCTCTAAGAGTTCTTTTAACACTCCTCTTATCTCTTAAAACTGGTAGTTTTAGAGAGATTTGACTTACAAAATGCTGTACAAGTGATAGCAAGTCAATTGGGTATAAGTCATATGGTGTCTCCCTTCTTCTCACGGAATTCTTAGTCTTGTAGACACCAACCAACAACCAAAGTAGCAAGAGAATACCCTGGTAAAGAGTAAAGTTATAAGGATTTAAATGGCATCATTACTTGAGCTCTTTTTCCAACAGCCAGCATGAATTCCTAGGCAGATGAGTGAGTCCTCCGAAAACTGGGCTCTACATATACATTTAACTAACCTATGTGAAAATTCCTATGAGAGAAATGCTGACTGAGGTCTTGCTGATTTCCTGGCCAAGAAAATAAGAAAAAAAAAGAAAGTATTTTTAATGTTTTAAAGTTTGAGAGTAATTTGTAACCTGTCAATAAATGTGTAGAACACAATTATACCAACTGACAAAAAAATGATGCCATTTCATTTATGTGCTCTTGGACTTGGCCAGTGATTTTAGATGTGTCTACAAAAGTAGAATCAGCATAAATCAAGCCAGCATTTCTTCATTTAAGATATGAGGAAAGGATACTGGTTGACCCATTGTAACAATGAGATATACAAGACACTCTATCAGAGGATGGGTGAAGGCGGGAGGTGGGGAGGAGTGAAGGGAAGGGATGGTAGGGTAAAAACAAAGGAGGGGGTAACAATGCTCAATAAGAAATGTACTCATTACCTTACTTATGTAACTGTAACCCCTTTGTACAGTATTTATAATAAAAATATGTATTAAAAAGATACAAGGAAAACGTGTCTATACATGAAGTGGTATTTGTCACTCAATATAAGTAAGGTATTGGTTTTAGGACCACAGGCTTATTACTTTGGATACTCAAAATCTCTACATGAACACAGTATATTATTTACATTAGAGCCTGCCCACAAGCTAGTGCGGTATAATTGCTATGAGAATTTTTACTACATTCTATATTTGTAATGAAACTAAAAGTATATGCACTATCAACAGATACAAATTTTTTCAGATAAATTTTGTATGCAGTTTGTGGATGGAATTTGGAGAGCAATTTTGATAAGCACAAATTTCATTAAAAAGACCAGTCTGCAAATTATTTATTTTGGGGGGGGAGGTCTGGTCGTGGAGCCTGAACTCTGGGCATGGGCGCTGTCCCTCAGCTCTTCAGCTCAAGGGAAGTGCTCTACCACTTGAGCCACAGTGCCACTTCCGGCTTTTTTCTTTTTTCTTATGTGATGCTGAGGAATCGAACCCAGGGCCTCATGCATGCAAGGCAAGCACTCTACCACTGAGCCACCTTGCCAGCCCCCAGCCTGCAAATTGTAACAAGGAGCTAATACAGCATCATTGAACAGTATGGAACTCCAAGGAGAAGTACTTGGATTGAGATAATATCAGAAAGTGTAACAACCCAAGGACTTTTTAGAAATGTGGCTGCTAGATTTCTCATGTAGAGCTTTCATAACAGTTTGTGAAGCACAAATCAGAACCTCACTGAAGTGTAGATGGTTTTCCGTCAACTTTCTGTCATGATCAGTCATTATCAATCAACATATAGCTAATCTTGAATAATCCTCTAATAAAATGTTGATGCCGTGTTTATATGCAGAAAACCTCGGAAGGCTAACTTGTTCCAATTAGGACAGTCTCTATTCTATGATCCAGCCGAGAGAAAACTACGTAAGCATCCATTTACAACCTTCTGAATAATTCTGATTCTGCCCACATCACTTATCTATCCATACCTGTGCCCTAGTGAAACGATTTTAAAAGAATTTATCATTTAAATTTAAATTTAGGGTTCCGGGAAGATAGCAGAGGAGAAGCTGGAAGCTAAACAAGCTCTCATATAGAAAGCAGTATTAGTGCTCCAGTGAAGAGTCCTAAGCAAGAGAATCACACCAAGTGTGCCAACACAGTACAGAGAGTTAGGCCAGAGAGGGAAAATCCAGCCAAGGAGACAAATCTGAGCACTTGCCAGTAGCCGGAGCTGCTGTGGTGGGGGCAGTGATGTCTGTAGCCACCATACCTGCAACACAGAGAGTCTAGGACAAAGGCACCAGATGCAGCAGGAGAGAGGATTCTACTCAACACCAGCAAGAACTGACAAGGAGCAGATATCTTCATCCTTCAGATCGTCGACCAGAGATGACCCAGGAATCAGACTCCTGTTTGAGTAGAAGCCTGACTTCCTCATTCCTTCTCAGAGAGCAGAGAAGGGAAGGCCACCCCTACCTGCCCACTACTGGAGATCTCCATCTTTGATACTGGCAAAGGCGTGGCTGAGAATCTACCTCCAAATCAGTCCTTGGATGAAAACAAAAAGTCATTTAGCAGGTCACAGGAAACTAACCTAACCTGCCAGGCTCAGCTCCACCCAGAAGAAAGTCATCCAGCCTGGGCCTGTGCCAGCCCCAGGAGTGGCTTTCATCACTGGGTAAACAGAGCCAGAGGCTGCCCCTCCCTACAGCAGCCTAGATAATCAATTGAAATTCAGTAACATTAAACATTGAGGATGGCTCCTGGACTGGGCTCTGTGACTGCCTCAGATGCTAGCCCCTCAGGGAAAAGCTACTGTTTGCTAAAAGACCTCAACTCAACCCAGAACCTAGCCCCACCACAGAATCTTCAACCTAGAAGAAACAGCCATCACCCTCTTTTGTGATATTCAAAGCAGATCTCCCTCCCATTGAAGTAGCCTGGGAGGCGGATGACAAAATCCTAGGTAAAGCAAAGCATTTTTCTGCCTGCTCAAACAAACTGACTTAAAAAAACAACCAAGCTACAGGAAAATCAAACACCACAATCAGACCAGAGACTCCAACAAGAGACTGGTAATGGACACAAGGGAGATACAGGATCTTCCCATCTCACCCCCAAAAAGGAAAGAACTCTTTTTTTGGTACATTTTATTTAAAAATTTTTTAACATTTTTAATTTTTAACTTTAAAAAATTGTTTTCTATTAACTTTTTTTTCTTCTTCTTATAATTTTTATTTTAGGGGTATGTGTGTGTGTGTGTGCTTTTTTTCATATTTGTTTAGCTCTACTGACCTTTTGATCGTTTTTTCCTTTCTTTCTCATTCTTTTCACTTTTTCTTCTCTTTTGTTCTTCTTTGCATGATTTAATCGCTTTTCTGCTCATTCTCAGATATACCTGTAGTCAATTATTAGACCTTATCCCCCATTGTATACACACTTAATCCAGAAAATTATTACTGAATTCAAAACCTTTTAGACTTAAATTCCTTAATAGCCGTGTTACCTCTATATACATATATAAAATTTACACATTTTTATTTTTTAATTTTTCACGTCTCCTTTCTATTCCTCCCCTTCTCTTATCTTATTCCCGTCCTTCGCTGAACATTACGTTTTTAATTTGCATAATTTTTAAGGGTTTCACTTTTTAATTTTTAATTTTTTTTACTAATTTTCCTTGTCTTTTTTTCTCTTTCTTTTTTCCCTCGTCTCTACTATCAATCTATCCAACCTATTTCCTGCTTTGAGATTAGGACTAAGTTAGCTCTCCTTCTACCTTTCCACATCCACCTATTCCTATTTATACCCATATCTCTCACTAAACCTAATAACTTCTTGTTTGCCAAATTCTTCTTTGTGGTTCGTAGCCTATTAATACATAGTTGTTTGATCTTGAAAAGTATATCTGTTGAACTAGATTATATCTGCAGGCTTTGGACTGTGCAACTAAAGACTTTGTTGATGCTTGCCTTAAGATAGTTTTCTAGGACCAAACTGGTGTTACTCTCATCCCAAATGGGCAGTATAAGCTGGAAAATCACAAGAAAACTGGCAAGTCCGGGTATCTCAACTCCACTCATGATAATCAGTGGACAGAACAGATAATGAATAATCCAGAAGAGAGCTCCCCAAAAGCTCTACAAATACTAATGGTAATTATGGTAAATGAAAAGATTGAAAACCTGCAATGTACTCTGTGTGATCATGATAGGGAGAGAGAGGAGGCAAACCAAGATCAAAACAGGAAGCTCATGGGCGTGAGGAAGCTACTCAAAGATACATAAAGGAATTGCCTGAGCAGTTTGACTACACTCAAAAACAAATAAAGGAATTGTGTGAGCAGGCTGAGATCAAACAAAGAGAACTACAAGAATTGCATGGACGTGAGGAAGCTAATCAAAGAGTAATACAGAAAATGAGAGAGCGGGATGAGAATAGACAGAGATCACTAGAGGCATTCAT